GTGTTGTTCACGAACAGCAGTTACATTTGTCAGAGGTTTTCCCTTTACACACACAGCCATTGGCACATTTGGCGCATGCTGCAGGACAGCGACCTGAGAGGAGAGGACAAAGACACAAATCATTCACAATCAATTCGTTCACTGAAAGCCCCCAGAGCCACACATCACATGACACAGCCCCTCCCTCACAAACTCATCTGACTCCGATCTCCCATCACCCCACTGAAGAGGCTCAGCAGCAGATCCCACCGGGAGAAAGTTTGAGGGAAGATTTTCCTGTCACTATCGCGACAACAAGGTTTCTAAAGGGAAGTGTGTCAGGTCACCGCTTTCCGAGGGAGACCTCAGACAGTGTTTGAAGCAGCAGCTTCTTTTCTGGAGGTTTTTCCGATTGGAAATGGGATGGGAACTCAATCCGGTGTAATCCCGGATTTTCTATGTGTCTATGGTGTCCCTGTGTGAGTTGTGCCCAGGACTATGTGTCACATCAATAGAACTGGAGCAGTTTGTAAGCCTATCCCAGTGACTCACATTTCTGGCAGCGTCCAGCTCCGCTGACAGCACATTGACAGTCGGAGCATCTGCAGGTGTTTGCACAGGTGCAGGAGCCTGAAAAGAAGAAAAACACAGACAGTGAGTGGTGTCCAACGCTCAGCAATGGACCCAGGCAGGACCTGTGCAGGGGGCCCGGCTCTTTGTGCCATTGTCCTGTGCTGCAGTGAGTTGAAGAAGCAGCCTGGCCTCCCTCCAATGCTGCTGGCTCCCAGTCAGGCTGAGCCCCACACTGGGACACTGTGCTGAAAGCACTGAACCAGGTACCACTCACCATCCAGGCACACACAAGGCTTCGAGTCCGACATCTCACCAACTTGTTCTGCAGCTTCGATCCGTCTCCAATCCGAGCTTCTCGATCTTGTGCCGTTCGCTGAAGCCGAGCCGAGCTTCATGAGTTTGTGCTGGCAGGCCAACCGTCTGCAAAACCAGGGAACGGGCGGCTCGGAGCTTCCTGAACGCACACGGGCCACCTGACTGAGTCATCAGCTGAAGGTTTGAACTGCAGCCGCTTCCTTCATTCACAACACGGTCCTGAAAGATTTCTCAATCGGTGCAATGTGACAACATTTCCTGTTGGAGTCAGCCAGAATCCGAGCGTCTGCAACACGGTTCAGCCTCACGGTCTGTGGGAGGCAGGGACAGCACTTTCTGTTTGACCTGACGTTTGATGTTTTCTGTCTGGACATTAGCTGCTTTCCCATCGCTCTCCCAGCTCACAGAACGCAGTGGCCGTTCCACCATCGAGGAAACTCCACTATTTGAGCAGGATCGTTCTGCTCATCAAATCCTCCACAATTCTGTGACATTACAGTTGATCTGGTCATCTGAAACTGCTCTTATTCACTTTTTCCCAGAAACCTCGATTACCGACTGATTAAATATTTGTACCTCAGCCTGAAGTATACACATTGCCAGGCCTCAAATTCCACAGTTTCATTCTCCTCTGAGAGAAAATAATTCTTCGCATCTCTGACTGACATTTGCAGCCCCTTTTTCTGAGTTCCTGTCATCCTGTCTGAGACTTTCCGAAAAGAAGAAACAATATTTATGCATCTACTCAGTAAAGTGCTCTAAAAATCTTTAAATTTTCATAGGATTCTCTCTCATTCTACTCATTTCCAGTGAGTTCAGACCCAAGAGCCTCACCCCCTCCTCATAAGACAGTCCCTCCATATACCTGAAATGAGCCTTGTGAACCTGCTGTCGACTGCATTCAGTGCTAGTGTGTCTTTCCTTTGATACTAGTTATAAGATGCGTTAGCAGTCTTCCTGCTGTGATCTGACTAGTGCCTTGTATAGTTTTAGTAAAATCTCCCGCCTGTTATACTCCAGTCCGTTTGAGATAAAGTCCAGCATTCTATTTGATTTCCAGATTGCCCGCGGTACCTATACACTGGCTTCATGGTTTCATTCATGGCTGACGAAACACAAACTTCTCCATTCTATAACTTGCTGCAGCCTTTGTCCCATTAAACAATATTCAGCTCCTCATTCTGCCACAGTGTATAATCACTCAATTTCCCACATTATATTCCATGTGCAAGTTCATGCCCACTGGCTCCACCAGTCGATCTTCCTGTCTTGATTCTCACCAGCAGATGAGAACACTGACTGCTGGCACAGAATATGTACAAACTGGATCCGGAGTGGAATGACTAAACCAGTCTGGAGCAGGAACTGACCAGGTCATCATTAGTGATGGAGCACAAAAAATGTGTTTGTGTGAGGGCTACAACCAGGTTCTCTGAGTATACAAGGTTTTGGGGTTCAATGAGATCAAGGTTCTGGGTGGCATTATAGGTATTGGAATCTTTAGCTGCAGGAATTGAAAGGGGGATGGGGGTCCAAGTGCTAGAGAGTTGGCATGTTGCAGTTATTAGTGAATGTGAAAGAGTTTTCACTGTGTCAATCCCCACCCATATATCACATTCCCACTTCCCTCTGATTGCCTCAGCGTTCTTCCTTGGAAGAGACACTCCCATAGGTGTTTTTCTTGGGTATCTGGTGCCTTGCTCATCTGAGTGAGAGATGATGCCTGCTTGGAAGGTACTAAAGAGGGAGACCACTTTGTCCTGGGTGGTTTTCCTCCTCTTTAATGTTATTGGAGGTACACTCATTTAAGCACACCCCTGACTTGTGCCTTGTAGATGGTGGAGAGTCTTTAGAGATTCAGGAGGTGAGTGAGCACAGAATTCCTAGCTTTTGAATGTTCCTCTGGCCAAAGTATTTTCAAGACTGTTCATTTTCAGTTCAAAGTAAGTGATAACTGACAACATGTTCCTGATCTTCAACCCCAATATTAGGTGAAAGCAACACATCGTTTTGTTTGTCATTCACATTTTGACAATCATTAATAGATGTCTCTCCCTTCCAGATGGTCACCTTTCATATAGCTCAGCAGAGCAACCCTCCTCTACATTCCCACACAGCAGCCCAGAACCAGGGCCTCAGAGTGGAGACAATCAGAGACAGACACCAGGCCCAAAGGCAAACTTTCCACAATAGTCCACAGACTGACCAAAGAAAATGGCCAACTCTAACCTCACCAAACACTGAGGGACGTGAAACCTGCTGCCCAATAAACAGCCAGGATCAGTGCAAACTCTTGTTGGAAACATGAACGCAGCTGGGAAACTCTCTGGGCCACAGCATTCCTCTCAGTTGAACGGTCAATAGGAAGGGGGTAGTGTTTTAATGTGAAAAGCAGGAGGTTTAGATGGATTTGAGGAAATTAACTTCACCCAGGGTACGGTGGGAATTTGGAATGCACTGAGTGGAATGGTTTGAGGTGGGTGATTTCACAGATTTTTAGAAGGAGGCGGATTAACATTGGCCAGTATAATTCTACGTTCTACGAGCTGGGAGAGCGATTGGAAAGAAGCAAATATCCAGAGAATAAACAGCAAAAGTCATGTCAATCAGAAAGTGCTGTCCCTGCCTCCCACAGACCGTGAGGGTGAACCGTGTTGCAGACGCTCGGATTCTGGCTGACTCCAACAGGAAATGTTGTCACATTGCACTGATTGAGAAATCTTTCAGGACCGTGTTGTGAATGAAGGAAGCGGGTGCAGTTCAAACCTCCAGCTGCTGACTCACTCCGGTGGCTCGTGTGCATTCAGGAAGCGCCGAGCCGCCTGTTCTCCGGTTTTGCAGCCGGTTCGCCTCCCATCACAAACTCATAAAGCTCGGCTCCGCTTCAGCAAACGGCACAAGATCGAGAAGCTCGGATTGGAGACGAATCGAAGCTGCAGAAGAAGTTGGTGAGATGTCGGACTCGAAGCCCTGTGTGTGCCTGGATGGTGAGTGGTATTTGGTTCAGTGCTTTCAGCACAGTGTCCCAGTGTGGGGCTCAGCCTGAATGGGAGCCAGCAGCATTGGAGGGAGGCCAGGTGCTTCTTCAACTCAGTGCAGCACAGGACAATGGCACAAAGAGCCGGGCCCCCTGCACAGGCCCTGCCTGGGCCTATTACTGAGCGTTCGACATCACTCACTGTGCTTTTCCTCTTTTCAGGCTCCTGCTCCTGTGCAAACACCTGCAGATGCTCCGACTGTCAATGTGCCGTCAGCAAAGCTGGACGCTGCCAGAAAAGTGAGTCACTGGGACAGGCTTTCAAACTGCTCCCGTTCTATTGATGTGATACATAGTCCTGGGCACAACTCACACAAGGACACCATAGACACATAGAAAATCCGGGATTACACCGGATTGAATTCCCATCCGATTTCTGCGATGTCCAATCGGAAGAATGTCCAGACAAGGAGCTGCTATTTCAAGCAGTGTCTGAGGTTTCCATTGGAAAGCGCTGATCTTATAGACTTCTCAATAGAAACCGTGTTGTCGAGATAGTGACAGGAACATCTTCCTTCAGACAATGCCCCACCGAGATTTGCTGCTGAGCCTCTTCAGCGGGGTGACTGGGAGTTCGGAGACAGATGAGTTTGTGAGGGAGGGGCTGTGTCATGTGATGGGAGGCTCTGGGGGCTTTCAGTGAACGAATTGATTGAGAGTGATTTGTGTCTTTGTCCTCTCCTCTCAGGTTGCTGCTCTTGCTGTCCTGCAGCATGCGCCAAATGTGCCAATGGCTGTGTGTGTAAAGGGAAAACCTTTGACAAATGTAACTGCTGCTCCTGAACAACACGCTCTGCAGACACAATCTTGGAAATCTTGTCCATTTGGACTGCATCCTTCAAGCTGCATATCCTAACTATCGATATTCTGAGGATTTGTGCATTTATGTGAATTATTGCAAGTGTATTAAATGTTGTCTTATTTGTCCTTTTGGTATGCGTATCTCAATAAAATTTTACTATTTAACATACTTGGTATGTCACATTCTGTTTCTAACATGAATCACCATCCAGCATGTTGGAAATGACTTTGAGCTATCAATGCATGATCAACTTATGTTGCATAATATTAAGCTTTGAAGCCACTTTGATGTCTGTTACAGTCTGGCGAATGAGGATAAACACTGCATGTGACCCAGTTTCAGGACAGGTGGAGTGAAGGATTCCATGGTCCTTTTGCTGATGTTCTGATTAACTCGTGAAGCAGCATCAAATTGTGAGCCATATCCTAATTCAGATATTGGCATGTTCCATCTGCTAACTTATCCTACATTCCCAGTTTTATGAAACATGGTCTTTCATGCTACTTGAAGGTGGGCAGACATTTGTAGACATCTGTGTTCCAGTCAATGTTTCTTACAACCCAGAATGAATGAATAAGTGAATCTTGGAGTGTGTACATTTTTCTGTGTGAAATGAATACTCTGCTTCCTCAACCATTAACAGAGATTTAATGAATGATGCGAACCTAAACGAGACTATTTCATTCAGGTTGACTTTGCTAACTCTTCTTGTCGCTTTTTGTTTTGCTGCATTTCATCCGTCACGTGTTTGCTCACTGGCCCATTCTATTTTTTTTTAGCTTCTGATTATCCCCTCATTTTTCCTGACTATTATGGTGTTGAAATGATAAGCAAACCCAAAGGCCTCCCTGCGCCTGGTGTTACAGTCAGATGACTGGAGAATTACAAACTTGGACTCTTGTTCAATAAAAGATTATAAGGAAAAGCCCAACAATTACAAAGCAGTCAGTTCAACTTTGGTAGTGGGGTAACTTCTAGCAACAATGACTTGGAATAGAATTAAGAATCATGTGGACTGATGTCAATTGATTAGGTGGGGTCAGCGTCTTTACTGGATTTTATCCCTTTGGTGTTCTCTGTTGGGAAGAACTCAGACTATGGACCTTATCCACTGAACACATAAGTAGTAAAACAATAGTCAAAGGAGGATGTGTTGCTGATTTGGAACCAACAAACATCCTTTGTCTGGAGGCAGTACACGATGAAGCTTATTTTGATCACTTCCTTCTGTAGGGAAGAGAAGGTGCTGATGTAACAGTAATGTAGCGGTTGAAAATGGATTGGACAATTTAGATAAGAAGGACTTGAAGTGTTGACTGTCATCAAAGCAGAAATCTCAAACGAGCGAGATCAGGTGCATTCAGCTTTAATGGGGTTGGATATTGGCAGAAATTGTGGTAGATCTGGCTACAACATTCAAATGCCTGTGAGACTTACACTGGGAGATTGGACGATTGCAAACATTGCCCACCTATTTAAAAAAAACTTGAGCAATAAACACAGGAGCTAATGATCAGACAGTTTTTTTTTAATTCGTTCAGGGGATGAGGGTGTCACTGACTAGGCAGCATTTAC